TTGAAATATTTATGCTGGCAGCGAATCATCGACGAATGAATGCAGCTGTCTGCCAGATTGCAATATATGTTTATAACTACAACTATTCATGCATATCTGCAGCTATCTATATCTATATCCATATCTATATCTGTTTATATATACTAAATATGATTACCCGGCGAACCGAAGCCGCGCTCTGGCACGCAAAAACATTCGATTCCCCAGGGCAACAGCGCTTCCAAATCGAACACGAATTCGACAGGAAAGCGACAACAAAAAAATGCATTGAATCAAAATGTGGAATATGATATTACACACACACACAGAGAGAGAGAGAGAGAGAGAGAGAGAGAGAGAGAGAGAGAGAGAGAGAGAGAGAGAGAGAGAGAGAGAGAGAGAGAGTCTAGGGTGTATTATATGTCCCTTCAATCGTTGTTGACGTTGACGCCAACTGTCACAGTTTTGGATGATGTTGGCGATGTTACCGATGTTTCCAGCAGTCGCAAATAAAGCGTGCCACCACAGTCGCTGCCAATAGTCAATGCACATGCATAAAATAAAAATAAAAAAATGGAGGAGAAAAAACCTGCGCCAAAGTCAATATTTAGAGCAACTCACGGCAGGGCAAAACGACTTGCACAATGCAAGATTTTACAGCTTAAAGCTTTTCAGAGCTAGAACAGAGCCTGACTCAAAGGTAAAGAGTAAAAAGTTACGGGTTCTTTAAGATACAGATTTCATCTATAGTCCAGATGGATCCCAGATTTCAAGACTTTAAAGCCCAATTGGCACTGTATATATTATAAATGATATAAAAATGATCAACTCTCTCGACTCGCTTACTACAGGGTTACCAACTATTTCCTATTTATATATATATATAATATATATGCAGTTATATCTAGATGTTAAAAACTTCAAGCTTTAATAAGGAGTCCCCATCCGAGGTTTTCCCCTTGAAGAACTCTTTGATTTTACGAACATGCACTGCTTCTGTAACTTATACTGCCTCGGGTAGGCCCCGCCCAGCTACACAAATATGCATATACACGGGTAGTTATCTACGTGTGTTTACTGTATGGAAATATATATTAGATAACGCTACGTAATTGACGGGGCGCGTCCACACATCAAAACTTTACCCAACGGCAGAGGGCGGGGCGGCCATTTTAGAGTTGCGGCTAACATTGGCTCCATAAAGAGACAACCCCCCCCCCCCCCCTGCTTCCTCTACAACTACCTCGTGTGTGTGTGTGTGTGTGTGTGTGTTTGCCATTAGTTTCGATATCAGTTTTCTATATTTATTTCGCAACGTATCGCTTGGCATTTGGACATTCATGGAATTGTTATTACTACAAAACACCCCCCCCCCCCCCCTCCTCCTCCTCCTCCAACTGCACCACTCTCCTCTCCCGTTGTAAATTTCTGCATAGATTGAAACCCCCCTCCCACCCCTTGCTGTACTTCCTACCCCAGTCACAGTGCGTTTTATTTGTCTGTTTGTAGTTCCCATTGGTCTCGGGCTTCTCGCTTATTTACGTATGAATTTCAAGAAAAATAAAGCGAAATAACTTAGAGATATTCTGGCGCAGATGCACGACTAGCAGCTACTCTGTAATTGAACTTTCTCATAGCCCCGCTTATGGCAAAAGATTTTCTTCACTTGCTCTTTGTGATTTCTAATCTATCTCTCATATCACACAAGCTATTCGAAATGCTTAATATCTGTGAATCTGTCAAATTCGGTCTTTCAGAGTAACATATGCTTTATTAGACATATTTGCAGAAGGGGAATTGAATTTTGCCCATAAACACTTTGACTACAATTTGAGTAGGAGGTGAAAGCAGTTCATTTTTCACCAATTTTCCACAGTTACTGGTGAAATCAGGCAAAAATCAGTCAATCAAGCAATCAATCCAAACTTTCATATTCAGATTTTCCCAATGCCTGTTGCTTTTGCCATGTTTAGGCCGCCGCCTTGTGCCGCATTCATGTTTACAGAGTATTCATAAGTGAAAAGGAAGAGAATAACATAAAACTGAAAGAGCGGGCGGAAGAAACATGAAATCGCTGATATTGCGCAAATAAATGGCACGACAAGGCGGATAGTAACATATACCTGACAATAAGTATTAACCCCATGTTGGAGGCAGTCCAGCCCACAACACGCCTGACTGCTGGAGCTGAACGGGGAGAGGGGGCGGTTAGTGGGTGTTGGGAGTGGGGAGGTGGGGGGATAGTGTTTCCGCTTTCCTTGTTCAACTATTGACAGCGAAAAGCAATTGCAAAGCTGCGTTGCATTTTGCGTGCAATTCGATATTCAATGGATTTTTAGCTTTAGTTTTTTCCCATTGTTGTTGTCGTGTTGGTTGTCGTGTTGTTGTTGCTCGTTATTGGTTTATCTGGTGTTCGTGTTGTTGTTGTCGTTGTCGTTGTTGTTGTTGTCGCTGTCGTTGTCCTTCTCCCTGTTGTCCTTTGCACATTTTTATCGCCGCCGTTCCCGCAGTTACATTTCATTTGCAGCCGGGCTCTGGATTCGCATTTCAGACTCTCATTTATTTAGAACAATGCATTATGTACAGACAGACAGATAGACAGATAGGCAGACGGGCGGACGGGCGAACGGACGCACAGTCGCTGTTTGCTCTTTATTTGTTTAGGAATTTATCGATAATTTGTCAACATGAATTACAACGCGGGACTATGCTTCTGCGCCAAATCCATTCGCACAACTTGCACTTAACAATTTTTGTCAATGTTTTCGATTTGTTTTGCTTTGTTGCGACATTTTGCTTTGTTTTATTTGGTTATTTGTTGAATATGTGTGTGTAATCGATATCATCCGTTTGTATCTCTGGGATAGGTCTCAATTCTCCATAAACATTGGGAACATTGGTTCGTTCAATCAATTTTTTATTCAAATATGATATTGAAAACATAATAATTTGTAAACATTTACTGCTTGTGCAGTTATCGAAACTTACAATTAGGAATAAAACTCAAAGCTCAAACTAAAGTCAAGCATTGTATCGATAACATATCGATTTCTTGTCAACATATCAACATTTGTATCGCTTATCATTCGATTGCTGCTTAAAACAATCAGAATTCTTTGACAGCTGGTCAAGCATAATATCGATAACATATCGATTTATTATCATTATTTACAGCATTTGGACAAATAACAATTCGAACTTATCGAAGTTCCTTAACCAAACTCCTTTTAAATATGTGTGCGATAACATTTTATTCTGTTATCGAAAGCATATCGTTATCGATAAGAACAATTTGCTTTGCTCTTCAAATACAATATCGATAACATATCAAACACCTATCGATAGCACCTGTTGTTATGTATGCACAACATTCAGCCAATCGATAACTGCCCAACTGCTTAGTTGATCGATTCTTATCGCATTGGCCCGCATAATTTATGGCTTCTACCCGAGCACATTAGGAGCTTTGCTCGCCAATCGACAAATTGCCCAAACCAGCGGAGCACTTAAACATCTTGATGCATTATCCGAGCCACAATCATCGGCAAATACCAATTCCTTCTAGCTTCCCCCTTCAAGGGGGGGCTGCCTGCCAAACAACACGAACTTCGCAATCCTCCCTGAAGAAGAAGAAGAAGACACACGCAGCCAAAAAATGTGCTGAGCGTTAAATCGAAAATAAACTTTGCCGCAACAAATGACAATGAACGAAAAATGCAAATAAAATAAAATAAAATACAACAACGAAAAAAAAATCCATACAAAATCGACAAAGAAAAAAACCTGAAATAATTTTTCTTAAATACGAGCAAAAAAAGAAGCGAATAAAAAAAAAATAAAAGTTAAATGCAAAAAAAGCAGAAAAGTTTTCAACACAAAATGTAAAATGGAATTCCCCAAACTGTAGGCCCAACCCATGGCCAGGGGCGGCGCAGCTGAAGGGGGGCCGGTAATATGAACCCAAATGAGCTTAGTGTGTGTAAAATCCAACACTCGCACACAAAGATTTATTGTTTGATTCGGCATGTGGCAAGTGGCAAGTGGCAAGTGGCAAGCGGCGCCGGCGAGTGCGCGAATTCGCGTCGATTTTATGAATTTTATTTCGGTTTTGAAAACCATAAAACATTCCAAATACCCAAAGCGAAAGCCGTGTAACAAATTTGCGTGTGATTTTGCTGTGGATTGAATTTGTTATATTGCATACCCTGCAAAAGTAGAAGACTCTCAGCTAACTGAAAGAACTCGCAAATGAAGTGAGACAGACCTTTCAAATTTATGAGCAATGGGCAGAAGAATGTTTATTTATTGTAACTAGATTAAGTTCCTTTTAAACTTTGTGTTTAAATCTGCAAATTCAGTAATACATTTCTTATGAAAGTAAACGCATTATTTAGTTAAAAAGAATCTGAAAGAATTTCATTTGATTTGAGTACAGTTCAGAGCTGATTTCTAACTTAAATAATATTTAGCATATAATCTCAAGGATCCTTAGCCTTGCATATGAAAACAATTTCTCGGCATATTCTAAAAGTTTCATAATCAAAGCAGAGGTCAAATAATAAAAATTATTTATAAAATAAATTTTAATTTTTGTTTTAGTATTTTTAGTTCAAATAATAATATTAAGCAGAATTTCTGTTAAATTTCTCTTGATGTTTGCCATTGCAGGGTATTCACTAGTCGATAGAGCGCAACATTTTGTTGCCTTCTTGCCTTTTGTTTTTGTGATTCTAAAGCCAGCATCAATTTAGTCACGAGAATCCGCTTGATACCCTCAGTAGCCCACCGCAACCCCTACTACTTCTACTCCCCTGGCTTTTATTGCATTTTTTTACAATTGTTAAATTTTTGTGCTGGGAGGGGGGCGGAGCAGGGTTACGTAAGCCCCAAGGCAGGGCGCAATGAATATATGATCTCCACTTTCTTATAAAATATGTGAACTTTAAGCACTCTCTCTCTCTCTTTCTCTCTCTTTTATACACTCACTCATGCTCTCTCTCTCTTGCTCTCTTTAATTGCAGATTAACATGTTGTTCAGGCCGAACGGGTAAGTTTACCACATTTAACATCCAGCACAAGGGGGTAGAGGGTTTTGAGTGGACCAGGGGAACCTTTGGTCAGTCATTGTTATTGTTGTTGTTGTTGTTGTTGTGCAGATTGAATGGCTCAAAGAAGTGCGTTAATCGAGCATTTAGCATTATGTTTAAGCCCCATTGTTGTGCTTGCTGCCAGAGAGAGAGAGAGAGAGAGAGATAGCAATACAATGATTTATACTTAAAAGTGCCCTCAACACTGACCTCCAGCAAAGTTCCAGCAGCAGCAAAAGAAGCAGAAGTAGAAGAGGAAGAAGTAGCACTTGGCACAACAACGTAAAGCGTTCAACAATTGAAATTGATTGTGCTAAACATTTGAGTAATATATCAATAGATTGCCAGATATTTCAAGTTTCATTTCTGGATTATATGATAATTGATTACAATGGAAGGTGTACTTTGCACAAGCTCTCAAGTGTTAAGCTATTCCAACACAGCAGAAGTTGATGCCTGCGCTTCCCGAGCGCATAACTCGAGAACTCTTCGAGATATTTGAATGAAACTTGGTATTTGAGCTGTTGACGTTCTCGAGAGACAGCAACAATTGGAATGCATTTATAGGCAGAGTGAATTACAAGTTACTTGAGGTCGTAGACCATATGACAGTTGGTGTGTGAGCTGTATGTAAGAAAGTCAAATAAGTAAGCTTCTGCAATGATATTAACTCAATCTATTATCACAACTCGATATATGCATTGTGAGATATTAATTAAATGCATCTAGAATTCGTCAGATATATATATAATATATTTAAGCTTCACAGGCCTTGAACTACTTAGTTTAGCTAAGGTCGATATCAATCAATAGAAGTGAATACTGCTTCAAGCCCGTTTCAAGCCAGATCTCGGGATCTTTTTGAGCTGGGCTTACCAATTTTAGTATCTGAGCTAGTGCAGGGAACTAGAATCTAGCTTAAATTTAAGCTCTTTTTCACTTTGGAGCACTTTGGACTGCCTAATGCCTAGACTTTTAAGGGCATTTCATCTGTGAGCTAATCAGAACGTGTTGCAAAGTCCGTTTTTGACAGCCTTCTTTACATTTGCTGGAAATATTTCAAAATTGTTTTGCCAGCATTTTTGCGGTTTTCCAACACACATTTTGTAAACTTCAAAGGGCGGCACTCAACACTCAACAAAAGTCCATCATGGGCTCGTTAAAAGTCTCTCGACTTTGTTTATTTTTTTTTCTTCACACATCATCTTGTGGCATTTTAGGTGTTTTGGGCCGGGGCGGCGGAGGGTGAATTTGTTGCCAGAGTGCATTTTCCAGAGAAAATTCTTCAAATTGTTCCATTGCAGTTATTCGCTTGGTAGCTCCGAAATTGAAGTGTGAAGCAATTAAAATGTCCATCATGGGACCAGAGTTCAAGCTACATTCGAATTTATATATGTTTCCTGTTTTGTTAAAATGTGTAAAATCTTAAGTTCATTTGTTGCGGCATCTTCGAAGGAATTCCCCGCAATGCAGCACAAATTCTTTGCATTTTTGTTTTGGAGAAATCAAAACAACAAGTCGAAACAACAACAACAGCCACAGCTGACAAAAACAGTCTCAACAAAAAGTATTGTCTTAGATATAAAAGCAAAGAGTAGAAGTTGCAGCATGACGAAATTTAAATACACTAACGAATATTTATATTACCTTTTAAAACAGAAATTTCATATAAGCTCTAGTTATTGGAATAAGTAATAAAATGAAAGATACTTGATCTGCAGATATAGTATTATAGAGTATTATCATTGAAACCAAACAGAGTTGCTCAAAATAGATGATTTCGATATCGATTCTTATCGATTGCTTGGAAACGGGGCAAGTTATCGATTAGGGAAAAGTAACTCGTACTGCGCTGGCACTAGGAGGAACTACTATAGGCTGTGAGATCCTACGAGATTGAGTCAGCTATTGATGCTGCTATATATATGTACATGATCAAGTACCTTATGTACTAATGTATTTGTACTCCTTTTATCCCTTTTTAATAGATTCAGGGTTTTACAAAAGTTTGGCACAACAAATTTCACAGCGCTATGAACATGTTTATATCAAACCGATTTGTCTTGTTTTGCCAAAAATGTAAAACTCACCTTTTTAGAAAACTTGGCATCAATTTTAACCATTTTATCTACAACGAGAGCCGAGCTCGCACAGTCTAGCTTAAGAGATCTCATCATATCAAGCCGAAAATTCCCACCCCTTAATGTCAGTCACATAATGCGTAAGCCAAGCGTAATGCCCTGCTAGAGTAAGTGTATAAAATATTGAAAAAAAACACGTGTTTCAAATCAGAGAGCAAGAGCAAACTAACCACAGTGCCTAGGCAAAGTATGCGCACACACACACGCACACGCACACACAATCTGACTGCTGCTTAGTGGCATTCCTAATGAGCTGCCACGCTTGCCACAGCCACTTGCAGCTGCCCCCAAACCAGGGGCAACACCAACTTCGACAACCGTCTACACCCACCCACCCTGCCTAGGCCTGTGGATCTGCTCCAGTTTGGCTTGACGCGGCTCTCTTGATGCCACTTTGCATGCAAATTGCACTCGATTTGCATACTTTTCGCATGCACTGTGTGCCCTGCATATATGTTTTTATGTGTGCGAGTGTGTGTGCCTGTTTGAGTGTCGCACATTATGTGCAGTCATGAGCTGCATTCTGCGGCCACTGAAGTTATTAAGAGCTCTCTGCAAAGAGCAAAACACATTCACGGCAAAAATAAAAACTAATAAAAAACCCGCAGAACATTCACCTCAAGTCCCCCCCCCCCCCCCCCACCCCTCATCAAGCTTCGCCCCTTTCTGAATCAAATCAAATCAAATCAAGTCTGAGCAACACATCTCTGACGGCCATTCAATTCAGTCTTTCACATTATTATTGATATTTATGCATAAGAAATGCAACATTTTGTGCCCCGCCCCACAACGATTTGCTTTATATCTATTGTGAATATGTAAATAACTCTAAACAATATGCATACACTGAACGAAAATACGCGCTTTTAGCTTGAAATCTCATCTCAAGCTAAAGTATAATAACTAAAGTAATCGCGAGTAGCTCTAGATATGATGTGTCGTAGCTTAAAGTCCGATTCTTACAAACAGCTCAATAATTTGCACAGCCAACCAAATCGCAAGGTCCACCTTCATATATATAAAGACAGCAAATTTAATGCATGTATCTCTCACAATGAGATATCTATCAATCGATATATATCGATTATATGAAAAAGGAAGGAAGATATCGAAAGCAAAAGATAAACTCGTTCTGCGCATGGCATAGGAGAATAGATTTATCAGATTAAAGTCTTGCAAGATCTATAGGAAATTTCCCGATAAATAACTACAGAATAGAATAGGCTGAACATTTTGTGAACTCTTCCAAGCGAAACTCATGCCAATTTCTCTCAGTGCACACACTGAGTACATATTTATATCCATTCGCTTGTATTTTTCATATAATAAGAGTCGATAGTTTCTGAGGAAATTCTTTGTATGCACAGCAAATCACATTTTAAATGTTTATTGAACAAATAGAAAAATCGTCAGCCATCCCCCTACCCCCTCTCACCGGCTGCTCAGCTCTTCTGGGAAAAATTCTAAGGAATTTATAATTTTTAAAATTTTAGTTTATATTCCTTAAACGAATATCAAATACATACATCATACATCAATTGATGACAATTTAGCTTTATTTAAGCTTTGATATTTGCCTGAAGTCAACGTGTGATTTTTAGTCCAAAATGTCACCAGTTGACAGCTTCGAACTGCCAGCTGGTCAGAGCTAGTGTTGTAAAGTGCTCGACTCGTCAGTTGATCCTTAAGCTTTCGTTGTGCAAGACTTTATTTTTTAGGCTGTGCTTAATGGACAAAAGCAGCCTTGGACAAATCGATTTGCTTTTAAAATAACGACACATTGATTAAATGTCCCTTTTAACTGTCTTCAAAGCTTGCAGTCAAATCATTTGCCTAATGCATTAAAGCTTTATTAATATTAAATCAATCGAAAAATACTTTTTTACGCTGCTTACGTTAAAAATTGCAAATAATTATGTTGGAAAGTGCACAACACTGATTTCTGTTTAACATTTGTGCATGCATTTGTGTTCTTGTGAAATTACACAACACTAACATACATTTTTTGAAAGGTACACAACATTGATTTCACTTTAACGTATTTGTGTACTTCTATAAGTTACACAACACCAACGTGCATTTGAGAGAGTTATGCAGCACTGATTTCTATTCTATTTTACCCAGCTAGGTTTTTTTTCACAGTTACACAACACTGTTTTACTAAAGCCAGCTGCGTATCCCCAATAGCCTGGGAAACAATATTTTACATGCTTCACATTTGGCAAAAGGTTTGTTTGATTTTTTTTTCTTTTGACGGTTACACAACACTGAGCACTGTTTGCCAACTTCTTCACTTCATCAAATATCCATAAATATTTGAGGCATTTCGCTTTTCGGCTAACGCCAGCTTGGCACTTCAACAGCTTCAGTCGATTAAAAGAAGTGCTGCCCGTTTTCCAGCTGATTGAATTGCCTTTTGGGGCCCGTTAACGATTTGACGGTCTGTGGCTTCCCCTCTCTCTCTCTCTCTCGCTCCCACTCTCTCTCTCTCTCTCTCTCTTTCACTTGCCACAAGCCGCTCCCTTAGGCGCTGTTCAACAGGGCCGCCAACTCATTATGGGCACGTGCAGTCGACAGGCGGCGTCGGCAGGTGCCCCTTGCGTGAATCTCATGCATATTAAACGAGATGCGTGTAAACAAAGCCTAAGCATTGTTGGGTGCCGCACGGCCACGCCCCCACAGGCCATGTGTCGCCCACTTAAATTGTGTGTTGACTATACGCAGATACATATGTAGATATACAGATACAAATACAGATACAGCTATAGATACATTTGGGCGGTGCGCTGATCTCTCGTTGTTTCAACTCGACAAACTGT